CAGGGCCGGACCCCACTTCCGCGGGCTGTCCCCACGGAAAGGGGCGTGGCTGTCTTCACCAAAGGGGGCGGGGCACTCCTCAAGGGGAAGGGAAGTGTCCCCGTGGGGGTGTCCAGGCTGTCCCGACGGAGGGGGCGTGGCCGGAGGATGGGAGAGATGTAGGGCGCACCCAGGGTATTGGGGTCAGGGCCTCATTAGCCTGCTCCAGCCGGGATGTGCTGACTCAGACCTGCTTGTCCATGTCCCCGACCCGTCCTGTCCCGTCCAGTCCGCCCATCCCGGTGGCGCCCATGCTGGCCCTGCCGCTGCCCTGCGGATCCCGCGTGCGCCTGGCACAGGGGCTCTGGCTGTTGTCTTGGCTGCTGGTGCTGGCCGACAGGCTAGAACTGCTGGGTGCCGCGTACCTCCTGGCACAAGCTCTGGGAACCTTCCTGGCCCAGAGCTGCCATTTCCCAGCAATGCCTCAGGCTGTGCTGCTGGCCGCCACCACAGCGCTGGGAACTGAGCTGGAGGCCACAAGTGCCAGCTGTGCCAGCCTGGACGGTATGTAATACCGAGCTTGGTGAGCCACAGTGCCAGTGGCTGCTGGCAGGTGTGCTGGGCAGCGGGGGCCTGCTGGTGGCCGCCTTGGGGCTGGCCTTGGCACTGTCTGCGGGCCTGGACATAGGACTGCAGGAGAGCCTTGGGGCTGCCCTGGCCCACTACAAGGACACCAAGGTGCCTGGGTATTGCAATGCTAAATGGCAGATGGATGAGCTACAGCTCAGGCACCACTGCTGCGGGTGCCACAGCTACAAGGACTGATCAGCAGCTGCTACTTGGACCCTAGTGACCAGGATGTGGCTGAGTGACTTCCGTCCCCCATCCTGCTCCCTGCAGCCCCCCCCCAAACATAGAGTGGCAGAGGCCTCGAGAGCCATGGCCACAGCTCTGCCAGGATCACTGTGCAACCCTGGGTTTCTTCACTGCGAACCAGAAGTAGCAGTGCTTGCCTCTTACATGAGTAGTCGTGCAGATAAGTGAATCACGCAGACCTGGCGCACAACGCAGAGGTCCATAATCATACCACCATTTTTCCCTTCCCAGACTCCTCAGCTCTGCAGACATCTGATACCGTCTGTTCTTCCTGCAGCTGCATCCAGAGCAATGTGAAAGGCCTCTACCTGACTGATGGTGTCCCCTTTTCTTGCTGCAACCCCCACTCGCCTCGGCCCTGCCTGCAGAGCTGCCTATCCGACCCCTATGCCCACCCATTCTTTGATCCCTGGCAGCCCAACCTAAACCTCTGGGCCCAGGGGTGCCGTGAGGTGCTGCTAGACCCTCTGCAGGGGCTGGCAGGCACCCTGGGCAGCATGCTGGCCATCAACCTCCTGCTGCAGGTGAGGACACCCTCCCCAGACTCCTCTGCCCTGGGCTCCCCACCCCACAGGCACACCCCACACTTTTCCTCACTCCCTGCAGGTGACGGTGCTCCTTGGCCTGAGGTACCTACAGATGGCACTGGAGGGGCTTGGCAGGGACCTGGATGGAGAGTGGGAGACCCAGGGCTACCTCCTCCCTGGAGGGCTGAAGACAGCCTGCCTGCAGAGAGGGGTGCCCACAGGCCAGCGCCTGCTGAGGTGCCCCCAGAAGAGGCCCCTGCCAAAGAGGACTTGCCCGAGGCCTAGGTGCCAGGGAGGGGGGGCAGGAGGTGCAGATGTGGAGAATTCGGCTCCTTGTTGGGAAGAAGCTACACAGAGTCAAAGAGAAAAGATGTCTTCATCTGCCTCTGTGGCTGAGAGTGCAGGGTAACAGATGACAGGGAGGACTGGATGCTGCTTCTGGACACAGACTCCAAAAAAAGCTTTGGGACAGAAGCCTCTGTCACGGGGATGTCTCTTCATGTGATGGGCCCTGAACAAGTGAGTCTGTACCACTGGAGAGGCTGGAGCCTGCACAGGAAGCAGGAAGGGTGTGCCACACAGAGAGAACCAGAGGCCCCTGGGCCGGGTATTTATTCCGGAGGCAGGAGAGGGTTAACATGCTCAGGTATGGAGGGCCCAGCCCAGATCCCAGGCCCGAAGCAGAACCCCAATAAGTTACCCATCCCCCAATCCATCTGTCCCCTGTTCCACCCAGCCAGGACTGACCACTTGTCCCCAGTCTATGGGCACTGCTACATGGCAGGTCTGGTAGGGAGGAGAGTCCCACAGGTATGTCCCCAAAACAAGCCGAGAGTTGGAGCGGGGCTGTCACACCTCCACAGCCGGGTCTGAGCCCCGGCCTTGCCGTTGCAGCTGCTCCTCCTGCTTCATCTTGGGCTTCTCTGTCCGTGTGTGCCATACCAGCACCTGTCAAAAGGATTCAAGGTAGGGCCAGGCCAGGCTACAGCCAGACATCTGGGTCCTCCCACTCATAGCTGGCTACAAAGAGGGTTAAGCTAAGAGTCAGGTGAGACTGGTTCCTCTAAAACAAGTTTCGGTCCCTCTGCCCTGTCATGCCACATGGTTCCCATGGAGACAGGGCCCACCCTCCCACCTCACTCCCATCTGCCTGTTCAGTACAGCAGACAGAGTGGACCAGGGGTCTGAGGGTCCACCCTGGCCAGACAACCAGCCCCAGGGCCACTCCACATCCCCCAGCACCTGCCCACTGAGCCCAGGTCCCAGCCACTGCCTCCCCTACCCGGGTGCAGTTGGCAGCACGTGGCTCCAGGTCCTTGGGGTCCACAAGACGGCTCAAGAGGCTGCTCTCCAGGTGGCCCCGAGGAGCAGCAGCATCAAACCGTGCATCAGGCTTGGCCAGCAGGAGGGGCAGGGCGACCGCAAACCCGGCCATGTCCACAGGGAAGGGCCTGGTGGGCTCCCATGCTGTATGGAACCCCACCACCCGGCCATCCTGCACCCGAGGGCCCTCAAAGCGCAGGCCCCCTACCAGCCCCACCGGCCACACTGAGACACCACGGGTCCAGCGCATCTGCCAGAGATCAAGAGAGGAGACGGTGTGGCCCAGGGAGTGGGGTGGGGGGCAAAAGAACCGAGTGGTTCCCTCCACCCAGCACACCCCACTGGTGACTCCTATCCCCATCACCTGCACCCCTCACCTCTTCAAAGAGTGCCCTGCTGTAGGTGTTGTCATCATCCGCAAAATACACGACTCCTGGGGATCCAGGGGATGGTGGGTCCTTCTCCCCACCAACAGCTCCCCCTTGGCCCCGGAGCCAGGCCAGGGCTCCATTCCGCTGCTCCACACCCCGGGGCCGCATCCAGCCTGGCTCACCCTCCCGGAGTTGCTGGGCCTTGGGCGTGAGGACAGCCAGGTGGGTGAAGAGGAGTCCGGAGGCAGCCAACATCCCTGAGACCAGTGGGGTGGGGCCCTCGGCATCCTCCACCAGCAGCCAGTGGAGCCGGGGCACCAGGCTCAGGGTCTGAGACAGCCTCACCAGCTCGGCCTTCTGCACCAGCCTGTGGGGCAGGCAGGAAGGTGCACTGCAGCCACCCTCACCTCTCACTGATTGGTGACACTCATCTACTCTGCCCTTCTACCCTGGGGCTCTGCAGGGGGTGAGGTCCTGTAAATTCAGGGCACAGACTTTGGGGTCAGTTGGATCTGGGTTTGAATTCCAGCTTTGGCAGTGTCAGCTGAGACACCATGGGAAATGGCCAGGTTTCCTCCTCAAGTGTACCCATCCATGAAACAGGAATGACCATACTTGATGACAATATTGTTTTATAAAGTGAATGAGCCGGGCGTGGTGGCACATGCCTGTAATCCCAGCACTTGGGAAGCTGAGGGAGGAGGATCCCTGTGAGTTGGAGACCAGCCTGGGCTACATAGTTCCACGTCAGTCTCAACTACATAGTAAGACCCTGTCTCAAAACAAAACAACCCAAAGTAAAGACAAGTTGTGCACACTAGGAAAGCTAATTTAGTCAGGATTTTTTTTAAGCCCTAAGAAAGATTAATTCATTGGCAAGCTCAAAATTTCTACGAGTGAAACTAAAACATTTGGTTCATCTATCCCATTTTTTCTTTTTTTTTTTT